AGCGGGGGACACCAGTAATGGGCTTCACACATTGTACCAAAGTGGGAAATCGAACCCGGGTCTTCGGTGTGACAAGCGAACGCTTTAACCACTAGGCTACCCCACCGCCCGGCATGGAGATGAGTTGTTAATGAAAGCTGTTAATGACCAGATAATGTTGTACTTAAGCAACAACAACAACAACAAACAAAACTTAATATAGTTTATTGACATTGTTATAAAAATATATATCAGTTGACACGGTGTTACATTATTCACACAAGAGCAGACACAAATGGATACATAAATGCATATCTGTGTGGAATTCTATATACAAGAACAAATAAATATTTGGCTATGCAAGGGCTCACTTATACTGCAGTTAACCTTTGACGTTATCCCAACACACTGTACGCCCCCTATCTGTAGCCCTGGAATTACACAATAAATTGATTCATATTGGATGAATCTAGATGTTCCAGTTTGGGGTGAAACGGTACGGTACGTATTACAGTACAAGGTCTTCAGTTCGGTATATGAGAACTTACTTCCGGGGAAACTAGTGGCGGTCTAACAAGAAATGCATAGATTTTGACAGAATGATTCGATTTATAGATATTTTGGAAAATCTTTAAAAGGTTAATAAAATGAAGGTACGAAAACCGAAAATACTGACTTTTTGGATTCATTATGGTATACTGAACCGAAGGCAACATGCTGCAGTTCTAGTAATCCTGCGATATACCGTTTCACCCTTAGTTCCAGTGTCATATCTCCATCAATGCTAATGAACTTTTGATTAGGATAATCAGCTGTCATTCTGTTCAAATATACACTTGACAAATTTGTTTTGTGTATAATGAGAAGACAAAATTATCACTATCAAAAGTACATGTATATTATAATATATATACTTGACCAACTCACCCAATAGCTTTGTTTCAGCTGTGATGTCATCATTTCCATTTTTGATCATTTGTAACATGGCCCAATTTTCTCATGCTCATGCTGACAACCAACAAATGGCAACAAATGGATCTTAGGAAATGATCACAACAGTATGGGGACGTAATACACTGGATATTTGAGGATGCTTTAGATTGAGGCTATTCCTATTACAAGAACATTGTGCTCCTGGTCTTTTGGACACCAAGCTCAACATATCATTTTTGGTTAAATGCTTTATGATAAGATTGGTTCCCATTTCTAACAAACCGTAACATCTGATTTATGAAACAAAAGAGCAGGGATTGACCTGGGTTATTCTTTTGAGGGTCCATGTGACTCCAAATGTTTATATAAATGGGTCACAGGTTAATACTTGACGGTTGCCAAAATGCATACAAATTCTAGCACAATAAAGATTGTGCATGTTGAGAGAATGTTAGTTAAAAATTGTTGTCTCATCTTTCAGGGAAGAGAGCCCAAAGTAAGAGAGTGAGAGTGAGTAAGTACTGGGGTGGAAATAACTTTAAAATTGCTAGTGTCCTCCGGTACAGTGGCACATGTAAAATCACTTGCCCTGATAAATTTTCCACTATACCAGCTGTTTTCTTCTTGATTTTTACATAAAGAACATAATTAACATTGGAAAGTCAACTGGACACCGGTACAGTGTGATATACAAATTTGCTTGCCCGACAGAAAAAAACACTGGACTCGGGCGTCACCAATGGGTTATTTCCACCCCTGAAGTATATTTTTACACCACTTTTAGCAATATTCCAGCAATATCACGGCGGTAAACATCAAAAGTGGGCTTCACACATTGTACCCACGTGGAGCAAAATAATACAGGTATCTGATGCCTACAACTATAGAGAAACCCATAGACATGTCAATAGAGCCGACAAACCAGGAAACATAGGCAGATAGAACCTGCATAGATTACTGGCATGTCCGTGGGACACATCTCTGCATAGTGATTTGTGGTGCTCTCATTTCTATACAAGTTTGTGATTCCTATATACACCTCATGTAATAAGTGTTACACAATCTGAACAGTCTTCACACATTATACGTCCTTGTGGAAGCTACTGATCAGGAAACCATGGCAACTCTCAGCAGATTAGCACCTTTAAATGCATGTCGTAATAAACATCAACAATCACAGACAAAGAGTTGTATTTGTTCAAATTTGCAGCAACGGACACTGAACAACACTGGTGTTACATACAAGCAGGAACATCCACCTTTAACCATAACTTCCTGTGAGAAGCAAAGGAGAAATCATTAAACTGTCTGGTTTGGTTCAGATGATTACATATATTCTAATTAAATGACACTCCAACTTTGAAGGTACTAAAAAAATAGATGGCTTTCTTGTTTGTGGGTTCAAAATGTGCTTATAACAGACTATAATCTTGTCTGGTTCGACTGACGTTCATTGTAACAGTGATTATGAGTATACTTAAAACATACATTGACAGGTAGTCATGTACATTTCTTATATTTCTAGTCTTAGTAGGATAAGTTGTAAAAATTACACAGGTTATCTAGACTTTGATCAGGGTGGGCTTGTTGGAACTGGGTCCTCAAAATGGTGAATACAGAAATAATACTTTGCTCCTTGAACAGTTTTTTGTTTACATAGATACATGTCTACAGATATACAGATACTGACAAACAAATAAATACAAATACTGATGTATTGACTATTTCACACTGGTTACTATGGTAATAACAACACACAATAACAACGGGTTACAGCCAGGTGAAAAGATGTTATTGAACAACAAGGCCAAGGTCTTTATGAGAATTCAGGGCCTAGAATTTCGAAGCTCTCTTAGCGCTAAGATAGTACTTACGACTAACTTAGTGCTAAGAGAGCTTTGAAAATCTAGGCCCTGTTACATTATGTACGTAGTGAATGTCATGGAATGAGTGAGCTTTAAGCTTCAACAGCTATTAAAATGAAAGAAAGAACATGGTAAGAATCCAAATGAACACAATTCTCAGTGGAAATGCAAGTATTACGTCTCTCGTTGGTTCCTTACACCCTTTTGAACAGTACTTGAGTTGTATCACAGTGTTACAGCCTGATGTGGAGGAGCGCCGTAATCATGGAGGTCTCGTATGTCTACACTTTGGTGAAAACCACGAGGACTGCTATTGTGCTGAAAACCTAGAATGATACTCAGGCAAACTGAGATTCGAACTATCACAGGTTGTTGGATGTAAGGGAGTAAGTATGGATGTAGGCTGCTTTTAGTAATATTCCAGCAGTATTTCAACAATATCATGGCGGGGGACACCATAAATGGGCTTCACACATTGTACCCATGTGGGGAGACACCAGAAATGGGCTTCACACATTGTACCAATATTGGGGGACACCAGAAATGGGCTTCACACATTGTACCAATGTGGGGGGGACACCAGAAATGGGCTTCACACATTGTACCAATGTGTGTGTGTGGGGGGGGGGAACACCAGAAATGGGCTTGACACGTACTCACGTGGGGAATCAAACCCTGGTCTACAGCATGACAAGCGGATGCTTGTTGGATTTAAGGTCACTGCACAGCAAATTGTAAAAGCTTAGATGACTTGGTCACCCATGTATCCCTTTGGATAGACAACATACTGAACATCATTTATAAATTAAATACTTAATTATTTTGGATTTGAAAAATACACATCATTCACTGATGAGTGAGTAATATGTGTTTAGAAGTCTGTTAGGGACCGTTCATAACTAATGGCTAGGGGGTTGATGATGAATTTTATGGAGAAGCATGTACAATGTGAATGATCCCCCCTAAAATTCATGTACAAAGTAAGCGACAAAATGTACAAAATCAATGACCCCTACCCAAAAATTTTAAGCATACATTTTGAATACTTGTATGTACAAAATTGCTGACACCCCCTCCCCGCAAAGTACATGTGTACAAAATTGATACCAACCCCATAACAAAACGAATGACTCCCCTTAAAATCATCACTCAGCACGCACACACGCACGCACGCAAACCATAACTTTTTGAACGGTCCCTGATATCACAACCTTTTCAGGGAGAAGAGTCTGATGTTTTTTTTTCATGTGGTAGGCGTTTACCTTGAGGTAAAACACATTGGTATTGTGCTGACAAACCTAGAAGCATAACAGATCCAACTCTGGGATTCAAACCCAGGATCCAGGAATACCAAGGGACACAACTCTGCAGCATGAATTACGCCACTTCCAACATCAGTGTTGCATAAAGAAAACAGCAATGGTTAACAGATGACTAGGGGTTATGATTCCTGGTTTAAGATTGTTCTTATACAGGAAAACAGGGCTCAAGATGTGTGTCAGTTAAAGAATGATATTTGACTTAATTCTAGACTTAACAGTGAATGGCAACAAAAACAAACATGTTTCTTGTCCCTGGGTATATCACAGTTGGCAAATATGTTTAAGACCTAGTGTGTCCATATCTCTCATAGGGACATCTTGAACCAGGAGGAGTCGTATACTTCAGACAGGAAGTCCTATGTCAGACAGCTACACTCTTCAGACAGGAAGTCCTATGTCAGACAGATACATCTTCAGACAGGAAATCCTATGTCAGACAGATACATCTTCAGACAGGAAATCCTATGTCAGACAGATACATCTTCAGACAGGAAGTCCTAGGTCAGACAGATACATCTTCAGACAGGAAGTCCTATGTCAGACAGATACATCATCAGACAGGAAGTCCTGTGTCAGACAGATACATCTTCAGACAGGAAATCACATGTCAGACAGATACATCTTCAGACAGGAAATCCTATGTCAGATACACCTTCAGACAGGAAGTTCTAGGTCAGACAGATACATCTTCAGACAGGAAGTCCTATGTCAGACAGATACATCATCAGACAGGAAGTCACATGTCAGACAGATACATAATCAGACAGGAAGTCACATGTCAGACAGATACATCATCAGACAGGAAGTCACATGTCAGACAGATACATCATCAGACAGGAAGTCACATGTCAGAGTTACATCATCAGACAGGAAGTCACATGTCAGACAGAAGTATCAGACAGATACATCATCAGACAGGAAGTCACATGTCAGACAGATACATCTTCAGACAGGAAGTCACATGTCAGACAGATACATCTTCAGACAGGAAGTCACATGTCAGACAGATACATCTTCAGACAGGAAGTCCTATGTCAGACAGATACATCTTCAGACAGGAAGTCCTGTGTCAGACAGATACATCATCAGACACCGTGTCAGCTAGCAGTTACTGTCTTCCTCCAATGTATCATCATCGTCCATGTTGAGTAGCTGTTGCTCTATTGCCTGCTGTCTCAGCTCATTGGACCTCAACCTCTCCTGCAGCTCCAGCATACTGAAACCAACAGATACATATTTATACCTTTTCATTTCTCAATGTCTCTTGACTTTCTTGATTGGAATGGTGACCTCGATGAACAAAGATGTCATCAGGGTATGAATCTCCTAAAAAATGTCAGCTAGACAACAGGGCTGGTTAGACATAAAACTTGCCAGCACTGACCAAAACTTACCTGCCCACAAAATAACTTCATACTACATGTCTAAATTTTAACCCGACCGTCGGGCAGGTGAATTTGAGAATCTGGCAGTCTGTGTTGAAAATAACCCATCCCAGCGGGCGGGCAGGCAGGTATTTCGAATGCTGATTATATGGATGTTTTCAGAATATCTAGCAACTATAATCCCCTGAGTGAGTGAGTGAGTAAGTGAGGAAAGGTGGTCTTATCACAGCTTTATCAAAGCACTCTGTATGTGTAAACGATCTACTTCTAAGTTAGGCAGAGCAGTGGCTGAGAGCATGGGGCTAGACTGGGGGTAGAATGACACACACTTAGCCGGGCAACACATCGTAACCACCCAATCCTCATTTCAGTGGGCTCAAACAAGTGAGTCCTTTGCCCTCAGAGAAAAGCTTGTCAGATGTTCGCCATCATGGCTGCTTCGAATGATTTGCTATAGGTAGTCATGACAACAAGAACCTATGCTGCTGACTGTGTGTACTGACCATTGTTCTGGGTCTGGCCCCGTGGTGTCCGCCTCCGAGTCCTCGTCCCCACCGTCATGGTCGTACATCCCCACCACCGTCACAGGGTCTGCAACAGGGAGTGAACTTGAGGTATGGTGCGGTGAAAGTGAGCTCAATGCTGCATCCAAGAGCACTGAGCTTATACAGCAACATACATGCATGTGTGTGTGTGAGTGCGTGTGCGTCAGTGAGTGAATTTTAGTTCAGTATTCCAGCTATAGGGCGACAGTCCGTAAATAATCGAATCTGGACCAGACAATCCGGTGATCAATAGCATGGGCATCGATCTATGCTATTGGAATAAGATGACGTCAACCAAGTCAGCGAGCCTGACCACCCGATCCTGTTAGTTGTCTCTTACTAAAAGCATGGGCTACTGAAGATTCTTACCCGGAATTTGTCACGGGAGTATGTGTGCATGCATGTCTGTGGTGGATTTACTTGACTGGTTTCATAGTGCTAGCCCACTGACATACCATGCTGGAGTTTAACATTTATACACCACTCACACACTGTACATTGACTCCAGATTGTCTTGTACAAATGTACAAAAGTAAGTATCACCTTTAAAGCCCTTTGGTACGAGGTGACTGTGGATCAAACTACGAACCTTCCACTGTCTTGTCCAATGTTCTAACCACAAAGGAGGCGGTCTCTCTATTACGACTACAAGGCATTGATCTATGCAATTGGGATACAATGACATGTGTCAACCAAGTCAGACCACTTGATCCTGTTAGTCGCCTCTTGCGCTAGCATAGGCCACTTAAGACCAATTCTAACCTAGATCTTCACAGGCCATGTGGGTAGGGCCAGACAATCAAGTGACTCGTCTGCAAAATATCAAGCTAACTGACCAGTCACAGTCTTGTAACAGTTAATGTTAGGCTGGCCAGTCCATCCTATTCAAGTGCTGGTTTCTCAATGCTGCACTTGTTCTAGCTGTACCAACTAACAACTACATAGTCTTGTCAGATGTTCTAACCACAAGACAAAGGGGGCGGTCTCCCTCTTACGACTACAAGATATGCATTACAGTGGATATGATACCTTCTTTTGATGCAGTGTCCGATTGTTTTAGCCTCAATGAATAAAACAACCATTATTAAATAATTTTACTTCATCAACGCAATTTTGCAGATACTTGAAGCAAAATGCAATGGCGATAATTTGCAATCAAAATCGACCCTTCTGACAACTCACCATCATGAACAACAGGAAAGTCTCCCATCTGTTTTCGCCCTTTCTGCTGAATCACTGATGGCTTATTATTTCCTCGATAATTTTGGCCTGTGATGTTGGCATCATTTTCTGAAATATTATCAAAATTTAACGTCCGAACAGCTCCGTTAAAGGAATTCTGGGATGACACCATCTGTCCAGTCACTGCCTCCAAATACAGTCCTTGAAACACATTGGAGTCGGTGCCATTGGAATGTCCGGTTCCGTTCTGGAACTGTAAGGTATCAAACATAACCGAGGAACCATGAACAGCTTTAACTTGACGATAACCTTGAGATTCATCAGCTGGGACAGAATTGTTCACAAATGCATTTTCTGGAATCACTGTCATTTTCTGTGGTATGAGTTGATCGGCATGGTGTCCATTCATTGGCTGCATGACTTTACCACCAGATGGAAGCATTCTGTGACCGGTTTCAACCAGTGGTTGGTGAAGAAAACTCTTCCCAGATTGCATCTGGGCCAGTGCTGCCCTCTCGAACCCAGACACCCTTGCCTGGAGTCTTGCAATCTCTGACTCCTTGGGACATGGAAAGTCATATCTTAGCAATGTGCTTAAAACATCGACAGCAATATTGCAAATCAAACAATAGTTATCTCTGTTAATAATTCAAATAATGCTAACTCTGCCATAAATCCAATTTTGGGGCTGCCACAAAAAACTTAAGATTTTAAACAAAAGTCATCACATTCATCTATCCACAGTTATGACACTAACCTTATCTCACTTTCCAGTCTTTTGGTGTCATGAAAGTTTATAGCAAATGACTGCACGATAGATTCTGACCTATTATATGACTTATATGGGTCAACAAATTTGTTATGGTAAAATCAATATCAGATACATTCTGTACAGCACACAGCCTATCATATTACCTTGAGTATAATGGTCTCGTTGGCTGTATCGATGACCTCCTTCCTGGCGATAAGCTCATTTTGCAGACAATCCAGGTCGTCCTTGACCTTCTCCAGCGCCTCCTTGTTTTGGTCCTCCTGCTGCAAGAGCTGTTGCTGGGCAACCTTCAGCTGACCTTCAAGCTGTGTGTAGTTTGACTGGCGCTCCTGCTGGCTGTCATGGCAACTCGCCAACTACAACAACAGATATCAGTTTCCTTCAGTTAGCTTGTTGTTTACAACAACACTCACCCATATTCCATCCATACAATGGCAGCCACATATTCCATCCATACAATGGCAACCATATATTCTATCCATACAATGGCAGCCATATATTCCATCCATACAATGGCAGCCATATATTCCATCCATACAATGGCAACCATATATTCCATCCATACAATGGCAGCCATATATTCCATCCATACAATGGCAGCCATATATTCCATCCATACAATGGCAGCCATATATTCCATCCATACAATGGCAACCATATATTCTATCCATACAATGGCAGCCATATATTCCATCCATACAATGGCAGCCATATATTCCATCCATACAATGGCAACCATATATTCCATCCATACAATGGCAGCCATATATTCCATCCATACAATGGCAGCCATATATTCCATCCATACAATGGCAACCATATATTCCATCCATACAATGGCAGCCATATATTCCAACCATACAATTGCAACCATATATTCCAACCATACAATGGCAGCCATATATTCCATCCATACAATGGCAGCCATATATTCCATCCATACAATGGCAGCCATATATTCCATCCATACAATGGCAACCATATATTCCATCCATACAATGGCAGCCATATATTCCATCCATACAATGGCAACCATATATTCCATCCATACAATGGCAGCCATATATTCCATCCATACAATGGCAACCATATATTCCATCCATACAATGGCAGCCATATATTCCATCCATACAATGGCAACCATATATTCCATCCATACAATGGCAACCATATATTCCAACCATACAATGGCAACCATATATTCCATCCATACAATGGCAGCCATATATTCCATCCACACAATGGCAACCATATATTCCAACCATACAATGGCAGCCATATATTCCATCCATACAATGGCAACCATATATTCCATCCATACAATGGCAACCATATATTCCAACCATACAATGGCAACCATATATTCCAACCATACAATGGCAACCATATATTCCAACCATACAATGGCAACCATATATTCCAACCATACAATGGCAACCATATATTCCAACCATACAATGGCAACCATATATTCCAATCATACAATGGCAGCCATATATTCCAAACATACAATGGCAACCATATATTCCAACCATACAATGGCAACCATATATTCCAACCATACAATGGCAACCATATATTCCAACCATACAATGGCAACCATATATTCCAACCATACAATGGCAACCATATATTCCAACCATACAATGGCAGCCATATATTCCAACCATACAATGGCAGCCATATATTCCAACCATACAATGGCAGCCATATATTCCAACCATACAATGGCAACCATATATTCCAACCATACAATGGCAGCCATATATTCCAACCATACAATGGCAACCATATATTCCAATCATACAATGGCAACCATATATTCCAACCATACAATGGCAACCATATATTCCAACCATACAATGGCAACCATATATTCCAACCATACAATGGCAACCATATATTCCAACCATACAATGGCAGCCATATATTCCAACCATACAATGGCAGCCATATATTCCAACCATACAATGGCAGCCACATATTCCAACCATACAATGGCAATCATATATTCCAACCATACAATGGCAGCCATATATTCCAACCATACAATGGCAACCATATATTCCAACCATACAATGGCAGCCATATATTCCATCCATACAATGGCAACCATATATTCCAACCATACAATGGCAACCATATATTCCAACCATACAATGGCAACCATATATTCCAACCATACAATGGCAACCATATATTCCAACCATACAATGGCAACCATATATTCCATCCATACAATGGCAACCATATATTCCAACCATACAATGGCAACCATATATTTCAACCATACAATGGCAACCATATATTCCAACCATACAATGGCAACAATATATTCCAACCATACAATGGCAGCCATATATTCCAACCATACAATGGCAACCATATATTCCAACCATACAATGGCAACCATATATTCCAACCATACAATGGCAACCATATATTCCAATCATACAATGGCAGCCATATATTCCAACCATACAATGGCAACCATATATTCCAACCATACAATGGCAGCCTGACACTATGTCAGTATGGTCTTTGTTGCTTAATGATGCACTCAGCAATATTCCAGCTATATGGCAGCGGCCTGTAAATAGTCGAGTCTGAACCAAACAGTCCAGTGATCAACAGCATTAGCATCGATTATCGCAGTTGGTAGTAATTCTTTATCGAGTTACATTGAATCACATATATGATGTACGGAAATTACCGATGTTTTGCAAATGCAAATCGATGGAAGGGAGATAACTCTAAATCTGTTTTTCTGTCAGCAAAATCTAGCAATGGCTACCAAGTCAGACCACCTGATCCCGTTAGTTGCCTCTTGCGACAAGTATAGGCTACGGAAGACCAATTCTAACCCGGAACTTCACGGGCTATGTGGGTAGGGCCAGACAATCAAGTGACTCAGCCTCCTCTGCAAAATATCAGGCTAATTGACCAGTTACAGTCTTGTAACAGCTAATGTTACGCTGGCCAGTCCTGCTATTCGAATGCTGGTTTCTCAATGCTGCACTTATTCTAGCTGTACCCACTCACAACTACATTGGGGCACTGCTTACCATTATGTCCAAGAATCCTCAAGCAGAATCGACCGCCTCCGTGGTGTAGTGGTTAGAGTGTCCGCCCGGAGAGCGGAAGGTCGCGGGTTCGATCCCCGACCGCATCATACCAAAAGACGTTAAAATATGGTACTTGTTGGTCCCTGCCTGGCGCTCGGCATTAATGGGTACAACAAGGACTGGCCAGCTCGGAGTCAGTATAATGTGTCTGAGTGGGGTATTCATGCTTCACTGCGGCATGGTATCTCAGTGGGCTAGCACTATAAAACCAGCTTAAGTCTGGGCTAGTACAAGCAGCCGCACATACACATACACACGCATGCACGTCGTCATATGAGCGAAATATTCTCAAGCACGACGTTAAACCCAATTTCACCTCACCTCATCTCAAGCAGAATCCCATGTTGAGGTAAGACACAGGAGAGACAAACTAACAACTGACTGCATCACTGGAGACAAAGGCACCTACCTCTTCCTGGTGTTTCTGTTGTAAGGCTTCAATTTCCTCCTTCAATGTCTCAACTTCAGACATATATCTAGCCTCTGTTTGACTTTCCCGACCTTGACATTCCTTCAGCTGCTCCTCAAGACGTGTGACCTCTGAGTCTCTGTTCTGTGCTAGGAGGACAGCCTCTTCTAACTCCCGAGCAAATCGATCCTGTTCTCGGTGTGACTGGGCCAATTCTCGTCTTGTCTCCATAAACTCTCCATGTTGTTGCTGCAGCTGCTCCCTATGATACAGTGATAGAATTAGGTTAAACATAGCTGTTCTCTGTCCAGTCAGTGAGTTAGGTTTAACACAGCTGTGATAGAGGTTTACAGTGAGTGAGTGAGTACGGTTTTACGCTGCTTTTAGCAATGTTCCACCAATATCACGGAGGGGGACACCAGAAATAGGCTTCATGCATTGTACCCATGTGGGGAATCAACCCGTGTCTTCAGCGTGATGAGCGGATGCTTTAACCATTAGGCTACCCCACCGCCCTGATAGAGGTTTAGATATCAAACTAAAGTCAACCAAGTCACAGAGACCGACCATCTGATGTGCGTAGTTGCCACTAAACAAAGGTTTAACAGAGCTCCAGATAAGATTTAGCTCATGTGGGTACTGTACCCACTGTAATTTTTTGGAGTGGGTATTTTGAATGTTGAGTGGGTATTTTATTTTCCATTACCCACTGCTTTCAAATATGTGCATATTTCAGTCATTTTACTCGCCTAAGTATTATGTCATTGAGTAAGTTTACTAAGCAGGTATGTTCTGCCTTATGTCATACCTAATCAAAACCAACTTAAATATAATGGAAATGATTTCATAAAAAAATCACTCATCCTATACTGACAGTACAACACTAGTCCTATACTAACAGTACAACTTGATAGCAATTGATGTCTTTTTCATTACGCAAGCGATTTTTTTATAAATATATTTTGTACGCATTTGTTTTAAACTTTTTGAGCATCTAACATTTTAAATGCGTAATTGGTACACAACAATTATTTTTCAATGCGTAATTTGAAATTTTCTATGCGTATTTTACCCGGATACGCCGCTTATCTGGGCCTCTGGTTTAACTCAGTTTAACGCTGAATCACATGTGGCCAACAAAATGGCAGGACTTGACTTTCGTATGACACCCATAGTGTTCTGAAGACCATTCTCATCTAGAATTCCCCCTGGGCACTGTATGATGCCTGCAGTCCTACCTGGTGAGTCGTAGTTCCTGTGTGATGTCCACGTTCTCCTCCTTCTGATCTTCCAGACGGTGCTGCTGCCTCTCTGTCACCTAAAACAACAACACTCTGTTAAAGTGGGTGAGTGAGTGTGGTTTTACGCCACTTTTAGCAATACTCAGCAATTTTCGCAGCTTGGGACACCAGAAATGGGCTCCACACACTGTACCCATGTGGGGAATCCAACCCAGGTGTTTGCGTGACGAGCTTACGTTTTACCCACTAGGCAAACTCCCCAACCCCAACCCCCACCCCCTAGGATGTGCAGGATGACTTGCCTAATCAATTATTGTTGTTGGCTATTTAGTCTTCATTTATAAGGTATTTGTGATGATATTTCTGTTAGGGACTGTTCATAATTTATGGCTAGGGGATGATGAATTTAAGGGTGTGGGGTGGGGTGGAGGGGAGTGTGTGTGTGTGTGTGTGTGTGTGTGTGTGGGTGTTTGGGTGTTCACCCATTTTGTTCTGGGGAGGTAGCGGGGGTCATCAATTTATAACACATGTACAAGGGGGGTCATCAATTTTGTACATATAAATATTTTAAAATTATGCTTACAAAATATGGGAAGGGGAAGGGGGGTCATTGATTTTGTACATGACATGCAGGGGGGAGAGGGGGTTTGTCACTTACTTTGTACATACATTTTAGGGATGTGGGGGTCAGTCCCATTGTACATGCTTCTCCATAAAAATCATCAAACACCCCCCGCCATAAATTATGAACCGAACACAATCAGCTACTTAACCATTGTCACCTAACACAGGGACAACCTGCCACACTAAACTGTACGGGAGGTGGAGGAGAGGTACCTTCTGTAGTTCCTGCAGTTTAACTGTAGCGGCCTGCAGCTCCATGGTGTGTCGCTGCAGCAGCTGCTCCGACTGCTGGAACTGCAGCGTCTTCTCTCGCAGCTGAGACTGACTCTGCTGCAGTGCGTCGTCCAGGTTGGCAATCTGAGACAACACAGATACATCACCTCCATCACAATACTACTTCCTCATTACGTGTTTTCAATTTACACTATGCATCTGTCAAAGAAACATTTCATAAACCTTCAATGGAGTCGGGTAAGAGAATTTTACACTCCATGTAAAGTCAGGTTATGTGTCGTAGCCTAGCAGTTACGGTGTTGAAGGTGAACCTGGCCAGCCAGTATGTGAGAAATGTTAAACCATACTCCCTTGTGTTGTCACCCTAAGGACCCAACTGTATTTTGTCTGTGTTTTTTCATCAAGAATTTCACGGCACAAGATGTCTCTGCTCCTAACGAGTCTGCTACTGACCTGCCGCGTCCTCTCTTGTATCTCCGTCTGATATTTCTGGAGTGTTTCGTCCAGCTTCAGCATCCGCTGCTCCATCTCCGTGTGCGTCTCCTTGATTGTTTGGTCCAATCTCGTCACCTACAGGAAAACATAACGGTTCAAAATCACCTCTTCAGTTATCACCTACCTTGTGCATCCCATTCAATAAATTATACTGGACACTAACCCGTGCACCCTCTACATAACTGTTGCTCAACACAAACTTTAAACAATGCTGAAAAACCTACCTGGGCACCACTTACATTAAACACTACTCAACACCTACTAGTGCACCCCTTACATTAAACGTTGCCCGACACCTACCTGTGCACCCCTTACATTAAACGTTGCCCGACACCTACCTGTGCACCCCTTACATTAAACTTTGCCGGACACCTACCTGTGCCACCCTCTCGTTGAGCTCCACCTGTCTGGTGTCTAGCGACTCCTTCATCTCCTCATTCTCCTCACTCATCATCCCCAACTCCTCCTGGGTCTTCCTGAACACATGTCAGGGACAATTCATTAGACTGACATTAACTTTTATCTTACCTCACACATAAATGTCGCTTTCTGATTGGCTGAGCGCTCTTTTACTATTTTCAATATACCCCGCTTACAAGCGAGTAACATTTCAATGTACCCCGCTGTCAATGGCAACTCATTTGGTACTTCGTGGTAGTAATTCTTTATCTCGAATTACATTGAATCACATATATGATGTACGAAAATTACCGATGTTTTGCGAATGCAAATCGATGGAAGGGAGATAACAACTTATAATATACTTCTTCCAATAGACATTTGACTGTGTGAATTTTATGCCATATTCGTAGTAACAGGTTAAGCTCACTTAAGTTGTGTTACTGGAGTAGATGAAGTCACTGAGTTTGTACTTTTGTCTACAGTTTTAATAATGAAATAAGCAGTCTTAGATGTGATCTAAATATTCATCCTATGAAGTTTCATAGCTAATTTATTCATTTAAAAGAACTGACTTACATATGCGTTCATATTTATGGAGGAATAATTGTGAACGACACTTACTTCAAAGCATCCCTGAGGTCCTCCAACATGTCATCCTTAGCCTTGACCTCAAACTTTGACCTCTGGAGCTGGTCATCTACTTTGACCACCTCTGCTTTGCTCTCCTTCAGAGATCCCTGCACAAACAACTCAATTTGTAATCTTTCAGAGATCCCTGCACAAACAACACAATCTAGTTTTCCTTTAGAGATCCGACCACAAACAACACAATCTAGTTTTCCTTTAGAGATCCGACCACAAACAACACAATCTAGTATTCCTTCAATGATCCGACCACAAACAACACAATCTAGTTTTCCTTTAGAGATCCGACCACAAACAACACAATCTAGTTTTCCTTTAGAGATCCGACCACAAACAACACAATCTAGTATTCCTTTAGAGATCCGACCACAAACAACACAATCCAGTATTCCTTTAGAGATCCGACCACAAACAACACAATCTAGTATTCCTTCACAGATCCGACCACAAACAACACAATCTAGTATTCCTTCAGAGATCCGACCACAAACAACATAATCTAGTATTCCTTCAGAGATCCAACCACAAACAACACAATGTAGTATTCCTTCAGAGATCTGACCACAAACAACACAATGTAGTATTCCTTCAATGATCCGACCACAAACAAAACAAACTAGTATTCCTTCACAGATCCAACCACAAACAACACAATCTAGTATTCCTTAAGAGAGATCAGACCACAAACAACACAATCTAGTATTCCTTCAGAGATCCAACCACAAACAACACAATCTAGTATTCCTTAAGAGAGATCCGACCACAAACAACACAATCTAGTATTCCTTCAGAGATCCGACCACAAACAACACAATCTAGTATTCCTTCAGAGATCCGACCACAAACAACACAATCTAGTATTCCTTAAGAGATCCGACCCCAACCAACACAATCTAGTATTCCTTCAGAGATCCGACCCCAACCAACACAATCTAGTATTCCTTCAATGATCCGACCACAAACAACACAATGTAGTATTCCTTTAGAGATCAGACCACAAACAACACAATCTAGTATTCCTTCAGAGATCCGACCACAAACAACACAATCTAGTATTCCTTCAGAGATCCAACCACAAACAACACAATGTAGTATTCCTTCAATGATCCGACCACAAACAAAACAAACTAGTATTCCTTCAGAGATCCGACCACAAACAACACAATCTAGTATTCCTTAAGAGAGATCAGACCACAAACAACACAATCTAGTATTCCTTAAGAGATCCGACCACAAACAACACAATCCAGTATTCCTTAAGAGAGATCAGACCACAAACAACACAATCTAGTATTCCTTCAGAGATCCGACCACAAACAACACAATGTAGTATTCCTTCAGAGATCCGACCCCAACCAACACAATCTAGTATTCCTTCAGAGATCCGACCCCAACCAACACAATGTAGTATTCCTTCACAGATCCGACCACAAACAACACAATCTAGTATTCCTTCAATGATCCGACCACAAACAACACAATGTAGTATTCCTTCAGAGATCAGACCACAAACAACACAATCTAGTATTCCTTTAGAGATCCGACCACAAACAACACAATCTAGTATTCCTTCTGAGATCCAACCACAAACAACACAATGTAGTATTCCTTCAGAGATCAGACCACAAACAACACAATCTAGTATTCCTTCAATGATCCGACCACAAACAAAACAAACTAGTATTCCTTCAGAGATCCGACCACAAACAACACAATCCAGTATTCCTTAAGAGAGGTCAGACCACAAACAACACAATCTAGTAATCCTTCAGAGATCCGACCACAAACAACACAATCCAGTATTCCTTAAGAGAGATCTGACCACAAACAACACAATCTAGTATTCCTTCAGAGATCCGACCACAAACAACACAATCTAGTATTCCTTAAGAGATCAGACCACAAACAACACAATCTAGTATTCCTTCAGAGATCAGACCACAAACAACACAATCTAGTATTCCTTCAGAGATCCGACCCCAACCAACACAATCTAGTATTCCTTCAGAGATCCGACCACAAACAACACAATCTAGTATTCCTTCACAGATCCGACCACAAACAAAACAAACTAGTATTCCTTCACAGATCCGACCACAAACAACACAATCTAGTATTCCTTCACAGATCCGACCACAAACAACACAATGTAGTATTCCTTCAGAGATCGGACCACAAACAACACAATCTAGTATTCCTTCACAGATCAGACCCCAACCAACACAATCTAGTATTCCTTCAATGATCCGACCACAAACAACACAATGTAGTATTCCTTTAGAGATCAGACCACAAACAACACAATCTAGTATTCCTTCAATGATCCGACCACAAACAACACAATCTAGTATTCCTTAAGAGATCCGACCACAAACAACACAATCTAGTATTCCTTCAGAGATCCGACCACAAACAACACAATCTAGTATTCCTTCACAGATCCGACCACAAACAACACAATCTAGTATTCCTTCAATGATCCGACCACAAACAACACAATCTAGTATTCCTTCAGAGATCCGACCACAAACAACACAATCTAGTATTCCTTCAGAGATCCGACCCCAACCAACACAATCTAGTATTCCTTCAGAGATCCGACCACAAACAACACAATCAGGTAATCCTGAACAAACAATGTCAGAATACAATGTACAATGGCATGCAAGCAAATCATAAAGCCCGATGTCTGCACAAACAGGTGACCAACACCACCATGGCATTCTGGGTACCATTTATACACAGAATGCACACTGGATTGAGGGATATGACAACCAATCAGCTGACATTGTAACCACCAGCTCCTCATTTCCTTCAGCTCTTGTAACAAGTTCAGAGTTATGAGGACTATTATCAAAGGATATTTATACAGCGCACATATCCAAGGCAAGGCACTGTTTTTTTCCTTTGATCATTGGATGTCAATCTCAACGGCACATCATACTATCAATCTCAACTCCCCTGGGGGCATACAACTCTTGCAACCACTCGGCACACCAAGTTATTGCGGTTTTCCCATCCTAACGAGGTACCCATTCACAGCTGGATGGACTGGGACACATAGTCACAGTACTTTGTCCAAGTTTACCGCACATTGCTGTACCCACAACTAGGTGTTTGCACGTATTCATGTGGCCACCATCTGGTCATATACCAACGGATTCGTGGGTTCTTTTAAGAGCACAGGGTTGTGTACTATACACTAGGGGTTGTGACAACACTGAAAGAGTCTGCACACATAGTTGACTCCAATGTTTTTACACCCGGTCACAGGTGGACTCGATCCCGGCATCTCAAGCTCTCTGGATCACTAGCCTGGCGCCTTAGACAGCTCACCATGCCCCCCACTTCCATCTGCTATGAAGCTGCAGTTTACCTTCAGGCTGTTAATCTCCTCCTCCAGTTCCGTGACAAGCTGCATCTGTTGCTGGGCATCCTCGGACCTGCTGGTCATCTGGTCTTCCATGTCTGCCACTGAATGTACACCACCAACACTTTACATACACAGAGACCAGTGCAGGAGAACATCAACACACACAACAATAAACAAATATGGAACATCATTTTAAACAATTTGTAGACATTATCATACACATGTTAAAGAGGTTGGAAACCGTATGCGATGGGATGTGACAGTAGGAGTGCGTATTTATGTTACACAGTTATTTCCCTTTATCTTGCTTCTAATCATACTTCATGATATTTTGGCCACACAAGCATTTATCCTGAGGTAAACCTGTGCAAGAGTTATCTCCCTTTATCAATATAATTTGGGTATGCTGTTATAATTGGAGATAATGTTGATACCCTCTGGTAACCTTTTTTTTTATTTTTGAATATTAATCTAGTGTGAATTTACTATTTAAAAATTCATTTTATAAAAAAATCTTGATATTATGGAAACCTTTTTTTTCATTGATGAATCAATATTTTTGTTAAATTCCTGTTAATTAATGTGTCGAATCCTACATACTGCCATGAAAATTGATTTTCCAGCTTTATTTCATATCAATACTGAAATATCTTTGTGGACAAATGCCGGCCCAGCAGAATGCTTGGGAGTTATTATTATTATTATTATTGGATATGTTTATAGCGCACATATCCACGCACTAGTGCATGCTCAAGGCGCTGATTTTTCCCCCTCGATCATTGGATGTAGATCTCAACGGCACATCTTATTATCAATCTCAACTCCCTAGGGATCATACAACTCTTGCAGCCGCACGGGGCACCGAGTTATTGCGGCTTTCTCATCTTTACGAGGTGCCCATTCACAGCTGGGTGGATTGGGACACATAGTCACAGTACTTTGCCCAAGTTTACTGCACGTTGCTGTACCCACAACTAGGTGTTTGCATGTATTCATGTGGCCACCATCTGGCCATTTACCAATGGATTCGTGGGTTCTTTTAAGTACACAGGGTTGTTTACTGTAAACTCTGTGACAACACTGAAAGTGTCTAAACACAAAGTTAACTCCTAGGTTAATGCATAAGAGGTATCTCTGAAGAGCAGGAGGTATTACGAAATGGCCACAAACCTATTTCCATCTTCTGCTCCAGCTGCACCCGCAGATCGCGGTTGTCCTTCTCCAGCTTAGCACAACGTGTTACTGTCTGTTCCGTCTCTGTCTGAGTCTCTTGAAGCTGGTGTTCCAGCGAAGACAGATCACTTGTTAGATGGCGATTCTCTTCTTTCAACTCCCTACAGTGATGCGAAAATATGGAGGATTCACATAAGCATAAGATTAATATGACATCATTGGCATATTGTTACATTCTCTTTATCCAGATAGTAATGTTAACACTGAAGTTGTTTAGTGATTTGATACTGCCACTATATACACATAAACAGTAGTGGTGTTCCGATGATCGAAAATAATCGAAAATCGATCGAAAGAAGGACTAAAAATGATGATCGATTGTAAAAAACATATTTTCAATTAATCGGAATTTGGTTGTTTTAGTATAACACACATGAATGAATTAAGCTAACCATTAAATTTGACGAATATTCAAGAACAAACATGCGCTCAAGAACGTAACGCTACGCGCACTGTAAACTTTTAACCACTTTTATTGGATAATTACAATTCCAGTGTCTTTCTTGCATGTGTGCATTTCATTGCATGACAGTATTAGTTATAAAAACCATTAATTAGAAAAAGCGTGGGGAAATATCCTTATAATTGGTGATTTCATTATATTCAATACCATGACGTTTCAGAGCTAATTCCTGCTCCTTGAATGCTGAGTTAACAGAACATATGGAAAGTTTCTGGATAAACAAGATCCATGCCAACTTGTTTTGCTTTGGGGCTGTCTTGTTTTGTTTTTTTGTGGGGTGGGGTAAGGATGGGGGTGAGGGAGGCATTTAGGAGGGATTATTTTACACAGAATACATTTCGATTGAACCATACTGACCTGAGAGTCTGTGTCTGTTGTGTGACTTCTGCTGTCTTGGTCTCCATGTCGCTACACGCCTGGTGGAGCTTCCTCTCAGCCACCTCCAGTTCTGTCATGGACTGGGCCTTCTCTCTCAGCAGACGCTGCTCCAGGCTGGATATCTACACATAGAAACAACACATCTGACTACTAGTACAGCTGTAGTGATCCTGGGGATCCAATAAACTCCAACAATCACCCAAGTCTCAGCATCCGTCTGTTGAGTTCTCTCACACAGCCTCAAATGACAAGTCTCAGTGCCTGCCTTTTGAGGTCACCTAAGGCCTCCCATGCATCCTGCCAACACAACACACAGAGCTAAAGACACAAGTCCCAGTACCTGTCTCCTGAGATCGGCATGTGCCTCCCATCCACCCAGCAGAAGACACAATTCCCAGTACCTGTCTCTTGAGATCGGCATGTGCCTCCCATCCACCCAGCAGAAGACACAAGTCCCAGTACCTGTCTCCTGAGATCGGCATGTGCCTCCCATCCACCCAGCAGAAGACGCAAGTCCCAGTACCTGTCTCCTGAGATCGGCATGTGCCTCCCATCCACCCAGCAGAAGACACAAGTCCCAGTACCTGTCTCCTGAGATCGGCATGTGCCTCCCATCCACCCAGCAGAAGACACAAGTCCCAGTACCTGTCTCCTGAGATCAGCATGTGCCTCCCATCCACCCAGCAGAAGACACAAGTCCCAGTACCTGTCTCCTGAGATCAGCATGTGCCTCCCATCCACCCAGCAGAAGACACAAGTCCCAGTACCTGTCTCCTGAGATCAGCATGTGCCTCCCATCCATCCAGCAGAAGACACAAGTCCCAGTACCTGTCTCCTGAGATCAGCATGTGCCTTCCATCCACCCAGCAGAAGACACAAGTCCCAGTACCTGTCTCCTGAGATCAGCATGTGCCTCCCATCCATCCAGCAGAAGACACAAGTCCCAGTACCTGTCTCATGAGATCGGCATGTGCCTCCCATCCACCCAGCAAAAGACACAAGTCCCAGTACCTGTCTCCTGAGATCGGCATGTGCCTCCCATCCATCCAGCAGAAGACACAAGTCGCAGAAGACACAAGTCCCAGTACATGTCTCCTGAGATCGGCATGTGCCTCCCATCCACCCAGCAGAAGACACAAGTCCTGGTACCTGTCTCCTGAGATCAGCATGTGCCTCCCATCCACCCAGCAGAAGACACAAGTCCTGGTACCTGTCTCCTGAGATCGGCATGTGCCTCCCATCCACCCAGCAGAAGACACAAGTCCTGGTACCTGTCTCCTGAGATCGGCATGTGCCTCCCATCCACCCAGCAGAAGACACAAGTCAGTGGAGAGACCACAAGTCCCAGTACATGTCTCCTGAGATCGGCATGTGCCTCCCATCCACCCAGCAGAAGACACAAGTCCTGGTACCTGTCTCCTGAGATCGGCATGTGCCTCCCATCCACCCAGCAGAAGACACAAGTCCTGGTACCTGTCTCCTGAGATCGGCATGTGCCTCCCATCCACCCAGCAGAAGACACAAGTCCCAGTACCTGTCTCCTGAGATCGGCATGTGCCTCCCATCCACCCAGCAGAAAACACAAGTCCCAGTACCTGTCTCCTGAGATCGGCATGTGCCTCCCATCCACCCAGCAGAAAACACAAGTCCCAGTACCTGTCTCATGAGATCGGCATGTGCCTCCCATCCACCCAGCAGAAGACTCAAGTCCCAGTACCTGTCTCATGAGATCAGCATGTGCCTCCCATCCACCCAGCAGAAGACACAAGTCCCAGTACCTGTCTCATGAGATCAGCATGTCCCTCCCATCCACCCAGCAGAAGACACAAGTCCCAGTACCTGTCTCATGAGATCAGCATGTGCCTCCCATCCACCCAGCACAAGACACAAGTCCCAGTACCTGTCTCATGAGATCGGCATGTGCCCCCCATCCACCCAGCAGAAGACACAAGTCCTGGTACCTGTATCCTGAGATCGGCATGTGCCTCCCATCCACCCAGCAGAAGACGCAAGTCCCAGTACCTGTCTCCTGAGATCGGCATGTGCCTCCCATACACCCAGCAGAAGACACAAGTCTCAGTACCTGTCTCCTGAGATCGGCATGTGCCTCCCATCCACCCAGCAGAAGACACAAGATCGGCATGTGCCTCCCATACACCCAGCAGAAGACACAAGTCTCAGTACCTGTCTCCTGAGATCGGCATGTGCCTCCCATCCACCCAGCAGAAGACACAAGTCCCAGTACCTGTCTCCTGAGATCGGCATGTGCCTCCCATCCACCCAGCAGAAGACACAAGTCTCAGTACCTGTCTCCTGAGATCGGCATGTGCCTCCCATCCACCCAGTAGAAGACACAAGTCCCAGTACCTGTCTCCTGAGATCGGCATGTGCCTCCCATCCACCCAGCAGAAGACACAAGTCTCAGTACCTGTCTCCTGAGATCGGCATGTGCCTCCCATCCACCCAGCAGAAGACACAAGTCCCAGTCCTACCGGGAATTCCTGTATTTAAGGCCTAGGCTCAAATATGGAAAATCACTGTTCTAGTGATGACATATTTGAACCATATTTAAGCCCAGGGCTTAAATTAAAAAATATGAATGACCACATGGTTCAATTTAACTGCACTTCCATGCAGGGTTAAGGGTTAAGATGATAAATTTCTGTCTCAAACAACTGCCCTGTAACCGGTGTCCAAAATGTTCTGTGACATGTTAACCTTGCAGAGGCACTACTAAAGCTAAAAACGTCGAGGTTTGCCATGCGTTTGGAAAGGGGCATCACTCTAAACACCCAAGAATTAAATCCAAATTTAAGCCCATGTGCTTAAATATGGAAAAAAATCCTGTAGTTTAGCCAATGGGCTAAGTCTCGTGTTCGCCTAAATACGCGAATTCCCGGTAGCCTGTTGAGGTCAGTCTGGTCCTCCCATACACTCTACTACTGACATGTCCCAATACCTGTCTGTTTGTCTCACACATAGTCAAAAACACAAATCCGAGCACGTATATGTCAAGTATCTTTGCCTCCTATACACCCGTGATAAAGTCACTAATGACATGTACCTGTCTGCTGAGGTGAACCAGGGCTCACATTCTCCCCAATAAAGACACAAGTTGAGGTCAGTCTTGGCCTCCCATACACCCAGATAAAGACACTAACGACATGCCCCAGTACCTGTCTGCTGAGGTGAACCAGGGCTCCCATTCTCCCCAATAAAGACACAAGTTCCAGTACTTGTTTGTTGAAGCCAGCCTCAGACTCCCATACACCCAGATAAAGACACAAGTCCCAGTACGTGTCTGTTGAGGTCAGTTTTGGCCTCCGATACACCCAGATAAAGACACAGGTCCAACTACCTGTCTGTTGAGGCCAGCCTCAGCCTCCCATACACCCAGATAAAGACACAGGTCCAAGTACCTGTCTGTTGAGGCCAGCCTCAGCCTCCCATACATCCAGATAAAGACACAGGTCCAACTACCTGTCTGTTGAGGCCAGCCTCAGCCTCCCATACACCCAGATAAAGACACAGGTCCAACTACCTGTCTGTTGAGGTCAGTCTGAGTCTCCTCCAGCTCTGTGATCCTGTTGGAGCTCTGCTGCAGCATGGCCTGTCTCTCCATCAACATCCTGTCCATCTCACGGTTGGAGTCCAGCTTCTCTTCCAGCTCCATCCTCGTCTCCTTTAAGTCCTGTTCTGCCCGGGAAAGCTGGTCAACAAAAATAACCAAACTAAATACAGTTATCTACCTATATGAATAAGCTTCTATGATGGGTATTTTAGAAGTTGAGTTGATGAAGAATGATGACAATATTTATGGATATATAACTTCTTTTATTCTGTGAAGGGTGACGTTCCGACATAGATTCTAATGTCAGTGTCAAGCAAGACAACGACATTAGCATCTATGTCAAAACGTCACCCTCTACAGAATAAAAGAAGTTGTATATCCATAAAAATTGTCATCATTCTCTATATGAATAAGGTTTGTAAATGATCAAGCTTGGAGTCAGCAAGCCTCAGCACCCAAATCCCAATTACATCAGTTATCTCTTACAACAAGACCAATTGCTAGCCTCAGCACCCGATCCCAATTACATCAGTTATCTCTTACAACAAGACCAATTGCTAGCCTCAGCACCCAATCCCAATTACATCAGTTATCTCTTACAACAAGACCAATTGTGAAGACTGTGTAAGTTTGAATAGAGCCGACTGTCATAACTTAGTTGAATGCATGTCACTGTAACCTGATGGCACGGATGCTGTTCATAATATCAACCACTGGTTTGTCCCACCCAGACCCAATAATACACATGCAGGCCTGATATACAGTCAACCCCATTCAAGCTACGAAACACCTTTCATTGTAACTGATATGGGCTAGACAAACCACAGGCTGATTGCACAAGGCATGATATGTAAAACACATACTAATAATAGCAATAGTGATAGTCTGCTTATATGGGGCTCATAACCAGGCACATTGCCTGCTCACAGCGCGAACCCCGGTCATAGGGCACTGTCGTACTTTCCATACTTTTTCAACTCCCTGGGGAGAATACAGCCATGCTGCCTGTTAGGCGCAATGAACTAAATACATTGCCAGGACATCCTCACGGGTACCCATTTTACAGCTGCTAAAACCAGCGTTCGTTTGTGGCCACGGACCCCCTCTAAATATCACAATTTCTGCTTTGCTTAAATTTACTGCTAACTTCCATCTTAGTATAACTTCAAAGATATTTAATTGATTTTGTAAACCGAACACAGTATCAGAAACTAAAATAACGTCGTCAGCAAAAGGAGCATTAGGACTTCTTACAAGATCTGGGTACATTTGATTCCATGTTTCAGCTAAATTGATATCGTGATATAATTCACTAATGAAGAAGGAAAAATAGACTGGACTTTACAGCAACCTTGTCTTAAACCAAGTGGGCAATCGAAAACATCTTTTCGTAACCCCGTCTTTGCAACGCACACAAGATCGAACGTTAGAATACATTGATTTGAGAATGCTAACCATTTTCCTCGCCAGAACCTGCCTTGCGTAAACACCGCTATAATTTAAAACGATTGACTGAGTCGACGTCTTTTTAAAATCTACAAATGCTATGTGCTAACTTCTATGGTTTCTTTTGATTGTGATTTTGGACTAGTGCATACAGAGTGCAAATATAAGGATCAGGTAGAATATCCCTTTCTTAATCCTGCCTGGATTCAGGAATCTTATCACGCATATTCGCCCAGTTTGATAGTCTATTGTTCAATATCAACGCAACATTTCAAGATACTCATTAATGATGTACCCCGATAATTATCTGGATCGTTTCTGTCGCCCTTTATGAAGTGGATTTATTATAGAGCTTGACCAACTGCAGGGGAAAATTCCACATGTTCAAACAGCTTATTGAAACATTTCGTAAGGAAACTGCTTAATAATTGAATTTTAGAACACTTTTATCATTTCTATCATTATAAAGTCAGTCCAGCAGCCTTCCATTTTTAAGATGATTTATCGCTTCTAATATTCTGTTCAGCAATAGGACTGTCTAGTACAAGTTGATCTACTTCTTGCATAATAGTCATTATTTGAATCTACAGTGTTAATTTCATCGTCGAAAGTTGAGTCTAATATCATCATCGTACAGGTGTAATACTGTTGAAACAAATACATACTCATGATATTGCCTGAATTCAGTGCAATCGATTCTGCTTTTTAGCAGATATTTTTTATGGATATGAAAATGGTTTTGTCGCTTCTATTTTAGCCTCTCGGATAAGCTGTGAGATTTAATTAACACCCTGGCTTGGAATGAAACCTCTGCCAGAGCGGCACATACTTTGTTCCTGCAGGTCTGCCATCTGTGAGTTTTCCGAGCCTTCATAGAAATAAACAGGAACTGGCATGGATGAACATTTTCAACTTAAGTCATTCACTGAGGGAGGGTGTGAGGGTGTGAGATTGTATTGCTCGGAGTAATTCTTCACCTGTCGAGTCTGGCACTCGACGTGCGAATCATCACATATTCAGTAGATATCTATGCCCTGATTAGTGACTATTTATATTATCTAACCACATACCCTGAACTTGAATCATCTTTCCAATTTTCTGGGTCCCACCAACAACTGATCTGTTTGCTGTACCTGTGCCACCAACTCCTGTGACAGTGACTACAGAACGAAAATGAAATACATTCAATGTGCAGCAATGTGTTTACTATACAGGCAATAAACCGGTCAAAGTCATGGCAAGATGCTTTGCCATCACACACAGGGGCAGTCTTCTGTTCAGCTTCCCTGATCAGCCTCTTATGTTTTTGTTCTCTTCTTTTTATGAACAGTTATATCAAACCACAATACTGACCTAATACTTAACATACCTGTAGTTCGTTTGGCTCAAAAGCGGAACGATGAACTGCAATCTAACTCGCAAACTAATAAACCATAAAATGCTCAGTGAAACACTGATCATAATCAAAACATCAGACCAACTGATGTGATTTATATCCTAAAAATAAAAAAAGTTGTTTCACAACTTATCGTTAAAATATTGGCACAGTTACTATTTGTTAAGGGGGAGGAGTGCAAAGAAAGGGACAGCCAGGTGTTCGAGAAGCACGTGCACAAGTGCAGACAAAGTGATTGTTTGCTGTGCCGTCTCCATCCTTTCTATAGTTTGGCATGAAATGCATGTGGACCCGTTTTTTTGTAAATATCTCTTCATCCAATGACCCAATCGATCTCAAGCTGTGCAAGTGGATGTTTTGTCAGACAACCTAATCGCCGGGTATTTGCTAGAAATGAACACCTCTTCATACCTGTCACGTGCATAGCTGACCTACATTGACGAATCGATGTTGACCTTTATGACCCAACACTGCCGCTGTTACAGGTCATTGGCTCCCTCCCTCTGCAAGCAGTCTGCGTTCTGCTGTTTATTTTGTTGAAAGTTACGTAGACAGATTCTTTAATACAAATGCATAAAATCGGTGATTTACAATGTGATTAGGTTGTCTGACAAACCCCCACTTGCACAGTTTGAGATCGATGAAGAGATATTTACAAAATCGGGTCCACATGCATGTCATGCCAAACTATAACTCGCTTTACCATCTCTCATAGGGGCTGTTTCTTCACTGTTGTCAGGCTTCTGTTCCCTGTCGTGCGATCTTCCTGCAGTTTCTTTTCATGAAATCAGAAGACGGTTAAGTTTGTGCTATACACATCTAGCTTTACGAACGCGCAGTTGTTGACCAACGAATGTCAAAATATAGGTTGCTCTACCTTCATGTGTCGTGTCATAAATTATCATTTGCCCTGAACTATTATAGATAAGAATGAGGATGCTTGTGTTTTTAAGTTCTTGTGTTTTCTTTACCACTAATGTTAGCAGACAGAAGCAAATCATGGTCATGAAATATCATCGCGTCTTACTTTGTTGTTGAGAACTCTCCCTCGTTATTGGATTTTTCGGCGGAGCTTGAATGTCTATATTTGATATGCTGATGCTGGTCATTTTCACATCAATTTGTTTAAAAAGGTCTTCCATCATGTCTTTCACAACTTCTTGGTTCTTTTTCATATTCAAAGCCTCATCCTTCTCGGCATGTCCAAAGACAAATTTTAAATTTCCATTTTTCCATCCACGACAGACAAGCATTGTAATAACGCTTAGCTTTGTTATCAAATTGGCAAAGTGCTTTGCAGAGTTTAGTAGTCAGCTCCACGAAGCAGATTGGAGTACAGTTCCACGACGACGAATGCGTCTTTGGCAAAGCATCGTTCAGGTGGACTCTTATCACATTCTCATTGCGCATGAAAAATGTCACTGCCAAAGCAAGAAAAACACAGCTTGAGAATGTATGGTTTCTACCTTATCTTGAAACAGTTCATCACATAAACAAATATATCATATGCCGTTATGTTTAGCGTAACTATACTATCCCAAAAGAGAAACGCATGGGCGGTTTGTATTTCGTATTTCTATTAACTACCTATTGTGTTCAAACAATCATCAAAACATGATTTTACACAATTGCAATAGTAAAAAATCGACTTTACCTGAAAATGTTGATTTTGATGAGATTTCTTACAAGGATTAAAAACGCTTCGCCACAACACAAAAAAAAAATAACCTTCCATTTTAAATTGTGCAGCAAAGAGCATGCACTATCTGGCTATAAAAATCCAGATTACTTTCGGAAATCGGCATTCGTTTTGAAACAATTTCCAGGTCAAATCACTACGCCACGTCTTGACGCTGCGACACGGATCATCGCCATTTAAAGAATGCTTGCTGGAGATTACCAATCTTCTGTTGCCATGCGTCTGATTGTTAGTCTGAGCACGATATCACGGCTTGCAGCTCGTTACAACCAAACAAGTATAACAAATGACAGTCCCCGTACAGGCAGACCTCGAGTCACCACTGCAGCTCAAGATCGATACATCCGGGTACTACATTTGCGTGATCGAACTGCCACGGGTGACAGCACAGCAGCCAGGGTGCTGAACTTCGGAGGCCCCGACGTCGGGACCGTGCTACGTCGTCACCATGGCGCTCAACGTCTCCGTTTTCTAAAATTATCCACTTGGTTGTATAGACATTAACCCCTTCTAAACTGATGTAAAATGTCATGCACTAAAGTCCATTTGTGGACGAGTTATACATGTTTGAAAATATAACATTTTCGCAACAGATTTATCGTATATGCGTTTCTTTTTTGGGATAGTATATATTGTTTTCTTCCTATGTTTTGAAATTTGATTTTAAAACAAAACTTTCTGTACTGTGTATATCGCTTTAGAATTCGGAATAAATATCTTGCGAGACTAGCGACCTCAATGCATTATATCAAATACTCACATATGGTTTGCACACCAACTTCATCTGTCGTCATTTGAATTTCCACTGTAGTGATATTACCTTTAAAGGAAGTTTCAATTTCAAATATGTAATTACAAACGCGGGTTATAAAAGCATTTACTGGACATTTAGTATGTCATTGTGGTTATCCATGATATAGATCCTTAGTCCGAATGGATGAATGTCAGTAAAATCTCAATAACCAGATCAAGGACAAATACCCACTGAACAAAACTGAAATGCTTCCTTAATCTATGTCCATTCTTTACACTTCAAAATAATTATTGCGACACCAATAATTTGAACCGCCATGTCGTATACGTGCAACAAAGAACTAGGGGAGGTGACTCTCTTTCATAGGTGAAAGGCCAACACGTGCATGAACCTCACGTGCCTCGGGAATCGGTCAGCTATCTTGCCCTACACAGATTGGCAGGGAGACTAAAACCTCAATAAACATATGAGCCCTAGACTAACAACTAGTCTCTGAAATGAAAATATTTTACTGAAAAAAGTTCATAGTAAAAAAAATATATATATTATGTATTATGAAAAGGAGCCCTGAGACTTTCTTCATTCATTTTCAGAAGCTGAGTAAATCTAAACTGCCACATTTTCTAGGCTTGTGTGGCCTTTCTTGGATATATTTGCTTCAGGGTCTGTACGACAGACTAATATCAGCCCGTATAACGACTGATCCCACGAATACAATACCCTGTATAGTCATGCATTATATCATAAATATAAATTTGTATGATTATTTTGAACATTCGCAACATTGGCGTATTTTCAATATGCCGACACTTCCGATCCCGTGACCCAGGATGGCGTCACTTCCGGTCGCGCGATCCAAGATGGCATCACTTCCGGTAAGGGGTGGTTCCGATTTGGGTACTTCCCGTTCCGGTGTGTGCATGCGCATGGTGATGACGTCACGTCCGGTTCCGGTATGCGTGCGCATCCCGACGACGTCACCTCCAGACCAAGCTGGACGCCCTGTTCAAGATGGCGGCCCATCCTGGGAGCTCCAGGGACTACATCGAAGTGATTGGAGGGAAAGGTTTTGAAGCAGGTTTGGCATATAATCAACCGCCAATTTGACGACCATTTTGGTAGGCTTACAGATGTGGCTGTTGTCGTTGGTGGCGGTGGTGGGGCTACCGTTTCTGGTGCCGCTGCTTCTGCTCATCTGTGTACCATCCTGGGCACTGGAGATACGTCCTTTTGGCTGCCTTCCCATAACTTAGTCACGTTTTCAAATAGGTTCGGTAGGATAGGTTTCCATAGAGGGAGTAATTTGCAACTGATTGTGTCCCACAGAAACACGCACTTCTCGAAATAGGGAATGCATCGTGTCGTTTGCCGTGGACATGATAAGTGGCTCATTGCCATCATAAGTCACATCCGTGCCATCTGTATTCTTGATTTGAACCAGGTGTAGCGCCAACACTGACTCAAATCGATGTAAGCGCTGAGAGGCTTAGCAATGTTATATTGGAGGAGACTGTGACCTAAGGTACGCCAATGGTACAACAGCCTATAATGTCACGTTTCAGTGTATCTATTGTGCTACAGTATTGAAGGACACTTACACCAGGCGTTTGACTGTGTGAGTTGGTGCTTGAGCTTAGTTTTACGCCACACTCAGCAACATTCCAGCTATATGGCGGCAGTCTGTAAATAATCGAGTCTGGACCAGGTAATCCAGTGACAAACAGCATGAGCATCAATCTAAAAAAATTGGATACGATGGAATGTGTCAATCAATTCAGCGAGCCTGACCACCCGATCCCATGAGTCGCCTCTTATGACAAGTATGGGTTACTGAAGACCAATTCAAACCCGCATCTTCACGGGTATCAGACGTTTGCCCCATTGTAGCAAGTGCCCTGTGAAAACAAAGATGGCCATCCACGCCTGTCAGTGTTTAACACACCTGTGGTCACTACCACTGTGAGTCAATCTCACCAAACACAGCGATCCTTTTCAGGACCATCCATCTCTCTCAAAAGAAAGTTGCGACCAATGCAAACAGTAACGATAACGATAGGTCAATATTTGTATTTTATTTGACCAAAGATGCAGGAAGTAACACTGACTCAAATCGATGTAGGCATTGACAAGGTTAGCAATGTTTAAATGGAGGGGATCCATCACCGAAGGTGGCACAAGAGGATTGTAATGAACCCACTGACCTTCTTGGACCAAAGTCATCACAGGGGGGACAGGAAAGAGATCCAGTTGAGCCTTGGAACATTTGCAGGTATCCTGGTGCATCATCTTGACAACAGGTCTTCACCGTACCGTGTGTGGTGTTGAACTGAAACCCTTTCCATCAGGACGGTCCTTTATGGTGCTTCTCGACCCCAGCAACTACAAGTGGTGGTGGTTGGTGGTGTACCACGATCAAAGCACGTTGCTCTTCTCTTGCATTCTTCTTCAGCCACCAGTCGTCTGTAGTTGTCATTCATTTCTTCCTCAGGACAAAACAGGCACAAGTATTCACAAGGGACTTTGGCATGCTTCTGGTGTTCTCGCGCCACAGCAATAACAGATCACCCTATCACCTCGTCCATCATAGAAATAGCCAGCCATGGCCAAGTCACAAGGCGATTGGGCCATCCGTTTAGGCCATGTTCGAAACGACCTCGCACGTTGATAAAACTTGACATACTCGGGGTGAGTAGGATTCTTCAAGTTGTTTTCAGGTTGTGTCCACGAGGATGACAGAGGAGAAGGAATATCCCCAGAGGGTCTCCATGGGGATATATCCACATTCAACTACTTGTGCCTGGTCTCTTGAGACACCCATTCCGTATCGGGGACATCGAATGCACTCATGCTGATACGTCTGAACTGTCTGACGAGTTGAAGCCAAATGACGCCTTTTTTCAAACCGATGCTTTACGTTTCTTGGTGAATCCAACGGCCTGTTTCCGTTTTCTTTTGCGCTAGTGATCCTGGTGGGTGCTGTCGCAAGGTGGCGAGTAAGGCTTGTTTCCCATGATGTTTCAAACTGTCCTCCACACTTTGGTGTCCTAAACTGATATCTTGTACCAATCCCAACACCACCCGTTTTGGCAGTTGGCCTCCAATCAGTTGATCTTTGTGGAAATCGTGTCCTTCTCCTGGAATGTCGTTGGCTGTGACTTGGACTCGGGTTAAAGGATATTTGGCTGTGACTCCTGGTGACATGTGTTTCACGTGCTGTTCCCGTATGGCAGGATCAATGTTGATTTGGCGCACGTAAAACTCTGCTTTGGTCAGTTCAAATCGGCATTCGGCATCTCCAGCACTCAGCAAGTCAGTATCATTGTCCCGTACCAGCACCGCATCATTCGCGGAGGACTTCGCGGAGGGCAACGTGTTGCTGTCCAAGGACACCACCAAAGTTTATCACATGGTCTACACCAAACGTCGAGTCCAGTACGACCCACAAGGCGCCCCTGTGGAAACTCTCTCCTATGGCTATAAAGAGTGACCTAGGAACAAATACCCATGGACTTTTGTTGTACCCCTTGGCATCCTCTGTCAATGTACTGTTGATCTTATGATGTTTAAACGATACCATGTGATTGCCTTGTTCATCCATAAAATGTTATTGCATTGTTCACCCATAAAATGTTATTTCAAATGAAATGTGTTGAGTCGTCTCTCTTCAGGGGCCAGACCTGGTGGAGTCCATAGTCACCCTAATCTATATTTTACCCTGTTAGGCTCAGACCTGGTCGATGTCATGGTCACCCGGTCATGTGTCATTGTTATCAATGCACATGTGCTGTAATAAAAGGTAGGAGAAGGGAGGGCCGAGTGGCGCAGTGGAAGTGTGCTGGGCTCATAACCCAGAGGCCCGTGGATCAATACCACGCTCTGCTAACTACAATTTATTTATTTTCTTTCTATTTTGCGAATACAGCCCTGATGTTGCTCTTTATGGTTGATGTCAACCATTGTTGAGAAAAAACCCATAGGAAAAACCTATGGGAAAAAACTTGTAGGAAAAACCCATGGGTAAAACCCATGACGGCACACACTCTATGACGTCAACCTGGCTTCGCAGGCAAAGAACCTGGCGTCTGACATGTCCAATCTCCACAACAACATGATGGCTTAAAACCAGTTGTACAAGACAAACTACATGGATCTCCAGGACCGGATCCGTGTGATGGAACAAAAGTTGCCATTGATCATCTGCAAGCTGTCGGGTATTAGTCCTAAAAAGAGAGGCACTGTATGGGTTGATACGTCGCTTCTGTGAGATGACTGAGGAAGACTATTACTGGAAATAATGTTATGTACAGCTCCTCTCCGACAGCGCCAACAACTCTGTTCGCTTGGTGCTCATAGGTATGAATGATGCGCATGCCGAAGAAAATGCAGGGAAGACATTCCTCAGCAAGGTGTTACACATCGTGTTCAAGTTAAGGAATGGTCGTCCTATTGCCTTGAGCAATGATGTACTGTACATCAAGCTGCTGGACAAACTTCAGGTGAAACTCTGGACTCACCCGCCCAGCTATGATGTTCGACGTGCAACCTGCACTTTACCTTTGTTCTCCAAAGATGCCGAGGTCACAGACATAATGCCAAAGCCTGTCAGTCGATGCCTCCCAAGGCCAATCCTGCCACGACTTCTCCAAAGATGAAGCAGAAGAAGGAGGCACCCACAAAGGTCTCCACCAAGAAGGCGCCACCTCCCAAGAATACCCCTGCCACGACTTCTCCAAAGAAGAAGCCAACAAAATAGACATCCACCAAGGCCCAATCCACCAGAGCAATCACCAAGGCACCCCAAAAGCCTAGGAGTCTCAAAGCACCCAGGACTCCCAAGAAACTGTTGGAGATTGCTGATTTGTGGGAGAACTATCAACAAGCCAGCCGTGCTATTGAAGAGAGCGAGAAGGGTCATGGGACCAGTCAAAGTGTTCTTGTTAGCGGGGGAAATAAACGTTTGAAAAAAATGTCAACCTATCGTTGTTATTGTTGTTGGCATTGAAATGTAGCATTCTTTTGAGAGAGATGGGTGGCCCTGTTAAGGGCCGTTGTAGAGTGAGGGTGTA